TTCAGACTTCATGATTAAAGGCAACACCTTAATGGACATTTTTGCACATAAATCCTTGTCTACCTTCCTGGCTTGTTTCCCTTGGGATTGATTTCTAGAGATAACATTTCTAGGTCATGAGGTTTTAATATTTTAAGACCTTTGTAACATATTATCCATTCCCTTCCCAGAAACCCTGACCAATTTACTGTCAGGCCAGAGGAGAGCAAGAATACCTAATTCATGACCTCACCATGCTGTTGCAGCTTTTAACTCAAGTCTTTAGTGATTACATGCTGTTTTGTACACAGTTTTGTGTGTGTGTGTGTGCGTGTGTGTGCGTGTGTGTGCCTGTGTGTGCCTGTGTGTACCTGCGTGTACCTGCATTTGAGTCTGTATATGTGTAATGTGTGTGGGTCTGTGAGGGTCTGTGTCTGTGTATGTTTGTGTGTCTGTTTATGTGTGTCTGTGCCTGAATCTCTGTGTGTGTGTGTCTGTGTGTGTTTGTGTCTATGTACATCTTAGTTTGTATGTGTGTCTGCATGTGTCTGTCTATCTCACCAGATGTGTCTCTGTGTGTTTCTCTATGTATATCTGTGTCTGTGTATGTCTGTGTGTATATCTCTGTATCTGTGTCTATGTGTGTATCTGTGTCTATGTGTGTCTGTGTGTATATCTCTGTGTGTATCTGTGTCTATGTGTGTCTGTGGGTTCATTGCTGAATATAGCAGACCAATGCGTCTCTTCTGCCTGGGTATAGCATAGTGAGGGCTGCTTGAGAAAAGCACTTACCTCACAGTAGGCTGCACCTGAGGTGCTCTGGACAGGATAGTTTCTTACAGAAGCCCTGTGAGGTAGACACTGTTACCTCTGTGACGTAAGAAAGGAAGCCCACAATCTTATCTGTGGGCTTAAAGCTAATAAGTGTCACATCAGAGCTCATGGAGATGCTTGGGCTCCAGGACATAACATTATGGGGGGCAGGGTCCTGATACTATAAAGGGAGGGCCTAGACTTGATGGCTGGCAGAGAGAATGTGTCATCAGCATAGGAAAGCATAGGACCCAAGAGTCTCAGGTCCCCACTTGAAAGTAAGACAGACTTGTAAAGAACCAAAGCTTTTGCCTTGCATCACAGTTTCTAGAAAACAGTTATTCTAAGAATGAAAAGATTAAGGTTCAGAAAATGACCTCCAGAGAACCCCGAGATTCTTGTGTCCTCCTGTGACATCGGAGTCTCTCTGACCTGAAAGAGTGATTCTCACTGACTTGCAACAAGCTGAAGCCTTGGTGTGCTGTGTTAACATCAGAAGGGAACTGAGTATGCAAGCATCTGGGACCCACAAAATGAAGAGCATTTAGACAGGGTCAGGGAAGCCTGGGGGGAGCAGCTTGAGCACACATAGGTCCACCAGACGGTTTCACAAGAGGAACAGTATGATTCAGGGTAAGCTGGCTCTCATTGAAGATGCCTAAGAAACCCAGGTGGGAGACAGGAACAGAGATGCTACTCTTGCTATGGTGATCAAGAGACGGATTCCCGTCGAAGCTGACACTTGTGCTGGACTCAGGGGATGAATAAAATGTGTAAAAGCTAAGTTGAGCGGTAACTTGGGAGATGAGGCAGGATGGTGGCTGCACAGAAGTTGCTGAGGCCCAGTTCTTATTGACAAAGTGTTATTCCTGTGCACACTCTGCATATGGCGACGTCACCCATGTCTGCAGGTGCTACACTACTATTAGCCAACATAGAAAGCCTCAGATGTTGCTTGAGGTCACCAGCTCCAGAAATAGAAGGGAGTCTCATTTCTCCTCTTGGTCACTGTCAAGCTCTGTGATATGCTTTGATATCACTCCTCCAGTCAAAGCCAGCTTAAGCTGGGCATACAGCTCTCCAGTAGAATGCTTATCCATTACCTGCGACACCCTAGGTTTCGTTCGTAGTTCTTAACAGTGGGCACAGATGCACCTCTGAACTGGCCTAGCACACATCTGAGAAGGCGGCTGAAGAATGCTGGGGAAATTGGCCTGAGTTCTTGGTTTTCCTCTTCAGGCCATAAGGTAGCATCCAATATTCATAGCTCTGGGGTGGCCTCATAGCAAGCATGTAGATTCCATCATCTTCACTGCTTAGGACTAGGTGTGAGTATTATCTGCCTTCCTCGAGAAATGTTTCTGCTATCTTATAATCCTGAGTGACAGGTACATATCTGGGCCTTGTATAGTGGTGGCAATGGGTTGAGGGTCAGGAGTCTGCACGATTGTAGCTTCCCACACAATTCTGTTGCAAAGTAAAGTTTGAGGACCTGCATTCTGTGCAGCAGCCTCCAGGATTGTCTGGAGATGTTTTTAAGAATGCCATGCCTGGAGCTGACATCAAAGTGCACAGGGATGTCTGAGGTAGGAACTTGTCATCAGGATAGTCTGTAAATATCCTATCTGATAGTGGTTTACAGGCGTGGTTGAGAATAAGTAACATTTGCTAAAACTGAACTAGCGCTTTCAATGTTCTCCGTGAGAAAATGAAAAAACAAAGAGAGGAAAAAGAGGAGGAGAAAGAAATAAAGAAGGGAAGAAAGAAATATAGATAATGTGAATGTACAGAAGTTCAATCCATTCATATTCAAGCACTTAGGGTACACACATGCACACATACATACATGCACACATATGCTTGCATACAGCATACACACATCACACACAAACACACACACATGTGCACAGAAATATACACACATGTGCACACGCACAAACATACATGCAGACACATAAAGCATATACATACGCATATACATATGCACACAATGCATACATATGGCTTTATAGTATCTTCTGCTGATGAATCAGGTGATTTATTGATCTTTCAGTTATTATTTGAAGAGCCTTTAAAGATCCCACCTGCCTCAGGTATATCAATCCAGTTCTGTGGTGTGGGCAGGACACTGGTGTGAGTGTTCTAGAACTTTTCCAGGTGGTTCCAGAGGACAACGAGGACTGGGAAATGCCGAATCCGTGCAGGGGAGAAAGAGCGTGGGCATCTACGTGCTCAGTTCACTTGGACACGTTCAACATGGGCAGCCACAGCACTCCCTGCAGACACTAATGCCTGTACCATTCTCCTGCTCTTCCTATAGTTCTAGCTGAGCTGGAAGAGGCCAGCATTTCCATATGGAACACTGCAAAATAGAGAAATGAGAGCCCTTGGTAAGGTTTCTGGATTTAGCAAACTGATACGACTAAATTTAAATTTCAGATAAAGAAACAATCATATTTGGCATAATTATGTCTCACATAATAGTTGGAAAATATTTAGATCAATTGTTTGCCTGCAATTCAGAGTCTACTGGGGCACTACGGTTTTCTTATCAACACAGTACATAAAGACAAAGTGAATTTGAAATAGCAGGCTTCTGATTATACAGCCACTACCAGGTCTCCAGCTCACTGGACCCTGAAATCTGCCCTGGCTTTAGTTGCCAACACATCTTCTTGTTCCTCTCTGAAAAGAAGCAAACAGCCTTATGCCCTATTGCTGAAGGGCCAGCACACAGCCTGGAGCTTCTACAAACCCTTCCGGCTGTCTGCCACTTTCTGCTTCTGAGCTGAGGGACATCTTGCATTCTCAGACTTCATCCTCACTGGCTTGGGCTATTAGCTCTGCCCTCATGCTAGCATCAGAGATTCAGAAAGCCCTTTGGTGTCATGCAGTGAGAGAGACAAATGTAATGTTGCATGGGACACCACTGCTGCATGTACCTACAGCCACCTTTATGGGACAAGGCTTAAGAGGGTTGACGCTTGGCTTAATGGTTTACTGTCAAGGTTTTGCTATTCTTAATATTTTGCTAAAGAACAAAAGATCCACATCTCATTCTGTTCTGAACACTGAAAATTTTAGTGTGTAGCTGGTCCATTTTTTGCTATTGTCAAGCAAAACCTACCGAAAGCAGTGTGTGCTGTCTTGCTCTTCTGTGTAATGGTATCCCATAACACAGAAGGCTGGCTGCAGTGGCTGACTCACTCCTTCTACTGATTTAGAAATGTTGACCCCTGGCCCAGACCCCTGCTCTACAGAGACATATGCAACTCAAAGCTAGGAATTTAATATAAGGGCTTGAATGAACCTACATATCCTTTCTCATATAGTATTTCGGGGTCTTATGTGATGGTTCAGAGGGCAAAAGCGCTTACCACCAAGACTGATGCCCCGAATCTAATCCCCAGAGCCCATATGGAGGAAGGAGAAAACCAACACTTGAAAGTTGCCCTTTGACCTCACCCTAGCACCCTGGCATGCACAGACCCACAGAAGAAAAACAACTAAGTAGTTAGTGATTTAAAACATATAATGTGAACAAATGTAGTTTTTTTTTTAAGGTGGCATTGGCAGCCGGCACCATTCATAATCAGTAATTACTGATTGCTCGTCCATGTTGAAGGCACCTTTCCTCACGCACCCCACAATCATTAGCATCGCTCGGGAAGATGTTTCCAATGCCAGTGTGTGCTGGCATGGTTCTGTGAGACGCTGTGCACCCAGCTACATTCTTCCAGTAGAACTACTCCTGATTGACAGGCAGCCAGCGCTAACTCTTGGATAAAGAGTTTCTCTGCATGGAAGGAAGGTGTGGCTCTCAGGTGTCTGTACCCTGCAACAATGTTTCTCATATCTGCTACTGTGAAATTCAAGTAGACATAACAACAACCACCCACAGAAATCCAAAGATGGCCCATCGGATTGGCAGAAAATCAAAGCTGCCTCTCCTATCACTTCAGTAAGGATCATATTGTAAGACTAGGCAGGTGGGTTTTTAAGTTATTGCTGTGGGTAGCCATGTGGGTCACCATGTGGGTCACCACAGAGCGATGCTGACCAGAAGAGCAAGGTGACAAGAAGTTGTTCTGAAAGTGTGTGTGTGTGTGTGTGTACTTTGAAAATAAAGACTCTGTGAGCCAGGTAAGCTATCCCTTCATCCCAGCACACAGAGCTTGCTTAAGACAGTTGCTCCATCTTCTCTGCAGTGCCAGCAGCTCCTGATCTAATCCAATGTGCAAACCAATTGGCAAGCTGAAACAGCTCGGCGGTCATCAGGAGGTTCTGCTTGCAAGGCAAGACTCAGGGCCACCTCCCAGGCGTCTCCAGCTTCCTTTGAGCATTGCCTGGGAAAGAGGAGTTCCGTGCTGCTTGAGCAAATGCCATAGGTCCGGTTTTTTTTGTTTGTTTGTTTGTTTTGTTTGTTTTTTGCCAAAGCGTTTTGAGTTAGCCTTACAGTGGAAATAAAACTGCCCAAATGTACTTGCGCTTTTTGAACATTTTATTAATAGCACAGTTACTTTTCAGAAGCTAATACGGGCTGAAAATCACCACCAGATGTATAGAAAGGCTAGAACAGGCTGGGCTGGTCTTTGCTACAGTCTGCCCTGTCCACACTCATGGCCTAGATTATTAGAAAACGATTCCACATGCCAATGTGTTTGTCTGAAAGGAGTAGCCCGAAGGGGAACTGAGGGACCCTGGGTCATGGAGGCCGGAGGCACTCTTGGATTGGATTACATTAAATGCACTGATTATCAGAAGCCCACAGGTACTCGGAGCCTGTGAGTGGCAGTGAGCATACATCAGTGAGCGGTAGGGCCTCAAGGGACCTGCATTCTAATTGAGATGACACGTTTATTACTCTATTAGATGACACCAGAGCACAGTGTTGTGACTTTTCAGAATAATGTAGTGTTATCTTATGTCCCACAGAGCCATGATTCCTCTCCCCAGGCTCTTGGAATGGGTGGGGGTACTCTTTCTCCTGCTGGTCTTTTAGAGATGGTACAACTCCCTAGAGAATTTACCAGAACTGCTCAGGGTCACCTCTGGGTCCCCAGAGGTGACATTGTGCCTTAAACCAAGGATTTGGTGGTTGTAACCATTATTACCCAACTCTAAGATTGGGCTGCCTGGAGTCTACACCCTAATTCTACCACTGTGTGAACCACACACAGGGTTGGTTTTCTCTGTCTTCAGTTCCTCACACATGCATAAGAACAATCAGCTTTGTCTGGGGGCTGTTTGTTCCCACAGGTGATGTGCTCAGGAACTGTGCCTGAGCTAGCATGCCTTCCTTGACTGTCAACATTGATGCTCAGCAGGGAGGCTTCCTCACCTGTCAGAAAGAAATGACAGAACAATTCCATGCCACTAGCATGCGCTAAGAATCCAGTACCCTATACCACTATGATGTACTACGTACCCAGTACCCCACATCACTACAGTGTACTAAGAATCCAATACCCCCATCCTACAACGATACATTAAGAATCCAGCACTGAGGGATAAATGAAACTTGCATTGCTTGTCTCTATTGAATTACATATTGATAAAATTTAAATAACTTTTCTTATAAAATTTGGTGGACTAATAATAGTAGAATTCCTCCTTTATATTATGAAAACTGCTATGGCTGATATGAACGGTGTTCATCACACTTCACAGTGATATCTAAATTTCTCACTACAATATGAAGCTAAAC